TTTAGCAAAGCATGGGTTGTCAACGCCCAGGGCAAGGCAACTTTTGGGTCACAAGCTTCACACGATGTGATTTGCTGTGCGACAATCACCGCAAAACTTCACGTTTTTGGTGATAAAATTAATGGCACCTGAACCTGCGTTTTGTGATCACAGCGATTCTCCCGCGATCCCAAAATGCCCATTTTTTGCATGGAGCCAATCTGGTTAACACATATGCGATTCTGGATGCGTTTTCAAACTCACAGATTCACATGACAGGCTAGATATGTGTTCCTATTAAGGTGGTTCACACAGATATGATCCACATACATTGCATTTTGAGTGCCATTATGAAAAGGGTCCTGTGCGAGTTTGTAGCGGTGTGTTCCAGACTCACAAGTGATAAAGTGGCATGTGGAGATAACTGTTCACATAGGATTGCTAGTGACAGGCGATTTTGCATTGAAGTCAATGGGAGACGATTTTGCATTGACGTCAATGACAGGCATTTTGCATTGAAGTCAATGGGAGTCGATTTTGCAATAAAGTCAATTGGAGGTGATTTTGCATTAAAGTCAAAGGAAGGCGACTTTGCATTGGCATCAATTGGAGGCAATTTTGCTTTGAAATTAATAGGAGGTGTTTTTGCATTGAAGTCAATTGAAGGCAGTGTGTGAACCCAGGCGCCAGGACGCAGTTTCTAGTCACCATGGCAACCTGGTGCCTGGGATTTGTCAAACCCTGTTTTAATGATATTAAAAAATTCTACCTTTTTAGCTCTGGTTTGTTTGCACTACATAGATGTCTGCTTTGCACATGCTATTACGGAATATGAATCCACTTAATTTTTAAATAACTTTACTTTGAAAAAATAATGAATACAAAGTAAACATTTCAAACAACTTGCTCAATATGTTATTTGTGTTTCATTCCTGATGGGTTATCTATATTGGCCTGAACTGTTGCAATTTTGAAACATTTGTATGTTTATTATGTTTTCAAAATCTTTCTGGAGTTATAATTAAAGACAAAACATTTTTTTTTTAGTTTGGACAGAATGGAGATGGATTAGAACACCTTTTAGGTTATGATTGCTGTCTGTGCCCGTTAGGGAGATTCACCCTCTCTGTTTGTCCTGTTTACCATTATGATTGAAAGTAAAAGAAAATCCCAATTTTTGGGTTGTCCACAAAGAAAGTGAGAGAGGGGAAATCTTCCAATGAGGACACTATTTCTGGTGACCTGGGGGGCCCCAATGGATTCGCTTAATTTGCAGGGATTTCCTCTCACTTCCTGTTTTGGCTACGGGACAGGAAATGAAGGTAAATCTCCACAATAGGACACAGATGGCAAGAAAAAAATGTCAGGGATTATAGCCCTCCCTTTACTCTATTTAACCACTTCCCATCCGGCCCATGTACATAAACGGCCGGACGGGAGCAGTGCAGGACCGGGTGGCCGTTTATAAACGTCCTCCTGCATTCCCTGCCTGTGCACGCTCCCAGAGAGCGCGCGGCACCGCGATCCGGTGCCTGCTGTGTCCAGAGGACATAGAGGAACACCGATCGCTGTACAAGACCTCTGTGTAAGTTCCTGATCATGTGATCACTGATTGGCCAATCAGTGATCACATGAATAGTAGTAAGCAAGATGTCACTTTCTGACATCATTGCTTACTACTAGTGAAATCTGTGAATGTTCACAGAGGTCACATGGTTACAAGGCTATTCACAACAAATCACAGCTCTCACAGTATTTCTCAATGGCTGCAAGAATGCAGCCAGAAAGGAGAAATTATTGCTTTTACAGCCTTTATGGGTGTAAAAGCAATCTGTTAAAAAAAAAAAAAATCTTCATCACCCCCCACAAGTAGTACAGTGTCACTATGGTGACACTGTACTGCTAGGGTGACAGTATGTGAAGCATGTTTTTTTTTTTTTTTAAATTATAATTTTTGGTTATAAACTTATTTGGGTTATTTTTTTTTTAAACTAAAAAGATAGCTGAATACTTTTTGGCCAAGATTTATGAAGAAATATTATTTATTTGCAACATTTTATAAGAAAAAAACTTTTTTTCAAAATGTTTGGACTTTTTCATTTATATAGCATAAAAATAAAAATCCCAGTGGTGAATAAATACCACCAAAATAAAGTTTTATGTGTCTCAAGAAAATGCTAAAAAATTCATATGGGTACAGTGTTGCATGACCACGCAATTGTCATTCAAAGTGTGATAGCACGGAAAGCTGAAAATTGGCCTGGACAGGAAGGGGTGAAAGTGTCCGGACTTGAAGTGGCTAAAATGAAAAAAAGTTTTGCCTATAATTTTACTTTAACCACTTCAATACTAGACACTTTTACCCCCTTCCCGCGCTGTTACACTGTGAATAATTGTACGGTCATGCAGCATTGTACCCAAATATTTTTTTCACACATAGAGCTTTCTTTTTATGGTATTTAAGGACCACTGTTTTTTTTTTTTCTTTGCTAAACAACCCCCCCCCCCCCCCGAAAATAAACAATATAACAAAAAACAAGTTTTTCTTTGTTCCTTTTATAAAATTTTGTAAATAAACTTTCTTCAAAAATTTAGGCCAAAATGTATACCGCTACATTTCTTTGATGAAAATAACCCAAACCCTGCCTATGTAACACCCCTTGTTACCATAAAAGTACAATTGGTATATTAATAACATATTAATATATTAATAGCAACTCACTGTCAGCCGCCCTAGACTCCTTAGCACCCCTAACCACACATAGTATTAGACCCCAACCGCTTCAACCATGGCAGAACGACCACACCAAGAATCTTAAACGACGCAGTCGTGCACTGGAGCGATTATGGCGCAAAACCAGATGCCAACAAGCGTTCACCCTATACAAATCTGCCTTCCTCACCTACACCTCCTCCCTCCACGCTGACAAACAAGCCTACTTCGTAACCCTCATCAATACCCTCTCCTCCAGTCCTCACCGGCTCTTCTCCACTTTTAACTCCCTACTCTCTCTCCCCCCCCACCTCCACCAAGTACCTCACTCACCGCCCACGAGATTGCTAACCACTTCCAAAACAAGATCGACGCAATCCGTAGGGACATCGCAAATGCTCAAACTTCCACCCCACCTAGCCTCCCTCCCATGATAACCCCCTCAACACTCCCCTCCTCTGACCTCGCAACTGCCTAGACCCCCACCCAACATCCCGCACACTAAAACCCCCCCCAACACTCCACTCCTTGGACCTTGCTACCACTAAAGAGGTCACTAAGGTCTTCCCTGAAGCCCGCCTCACCACCTGCCCCCTTAACCCTGTCCCCGCACAACTCCTATGGTCACCACCCTCCTCCATCCTACGCTCCCTCACCCACATCTTCAATCTCTCCCTCTGAACTGGCGCATTCCCCTCCCCCCTAAAGCACGCGCACATTAGCCCCATACTCAAAAAACCCTCCCCGGACTCCACCGACCTGAACAACCTTAGACCCATCTCCCTGCTGCCATTTACATCCAAACTCCTCGAGCGCTTAGTCTATAATCACCTAAGCTCCCACCTCAACGACAACAACCTCCTTGATCCCCTACAGTCTGGCCTCCGTCCCCTACACTCCACCGAAACCGCACTACTCAAACTCACCAACGACCTGCTAACTGCCAAAGCTAATGGCCACTACTCAGTCCTCCTACTCCTCGACCTCCTGTTCCCTACTGCAGTAGTTATTAATTTGGAACCATTAATCATTATGAGGATAGAAATTGCCTATGATATTTCATTATTAATTTCCACTAATCTTGTTTTAGCAACAAGATTTCCTTTTTACAGCTGTTGTGGTATTCCTTGTAACTTTAAGGGTACTTGCACTGATCTTTGCTGGCGTTTGAACATCAATATTCCTGGCCCAAGTGTCAATGTTTATTTTGTGCATATTTGAATATACGAGCATACACAAGTAAAATAAAGTCTAACCTCTCCAAATTACATTCTTGAAAGCGTGCAAAATCCTGACCGAGATTTTTGCAAATCTCTTTTATTTTACTCATTTATATGCATGTTTATGTGCCTATGTGCACAGGCACATTGAAAACATTGAAACCCCAGAACCGCCCCCCCCCCCAAAAAAAAAATCCGCCTGTATGCCTGAAAAACGCTCTGTATTTTGGGAGTGGTATGCAAGAGGACTTAGATCAGTGTTTCTCAACCTTTTTTCAGTCAAGGCACCATATAAAATCATGAACAGTCCTGAGGCACCCAATTTTAAAATGTAAAAAACTATTCTAATAGTTTAATATAAACGCAGCAACATCCACACACGCAGGACACCCAATATTAGAGGTGACTTATTCTTCTAAAGAAAATACATTTTTGCACACTGGTACTGACTAGTACTCTAATGTTTCTCTTCTTCCTCAGTTTTTCTCTATCACTGAGCTAATGTGACCCCAGTACTGACAGAGAGGGACAGGGGAGAGTAAAACAAGGATGCTGTACAGGCAACTGAAACCCTCCTTATCAATTAATGATGTAATTAGTTGTGAGGATGCCAGCGGCTAGAAGGTCCTAATGGTGCACAATGAAAACCTGTGGCTTTGTGTAACTAAAACGCAGGCTTGTTACACCCACTGACTTGTATACAAGTTTTGGGTAATTTTTAGGCATTTTGCCAAGGCACCCCTGAGGAAACCTCAAGGCACCCTGGGTAAAAAAAGGCTGCCTTAGATGATGAAAGTGTTCCTTTAGGTTTACATTGTTAGATGCCCTTTTCTAATAGGTAATTTTTTTTTTCAACAGACGTAAAATAGGCTTTTTTTAACCTTTAATATTTATTGCTCAAGGGAATGCGGTCTGCAACGTACTGTATTTACATAATAATCATCACATAAACATTCTCATTTTTGTTCTTGATAAGCATTATCATCCTGGTAAATACAATCATCATAAGCCTCTGTCATCCTTCTGTGACTGCACTAACTGATCTACTGATGCTTGATCTTGACACTTAATCTTGTATTCCAACTCACCCTCTGTGCTCTTTCATGTTCCTCTTTAGCTTTCTTCAGATGTTCTCTCCTTTCATTGGCCAGCCTTTCCTCTTGTTTGCGTTGATATTTCCTCCGATGTTCTGCAATTTTCTGAGCCTGAAAAAATTCATACCATTAAGATGTACATGTCACACATGCTACTGAAGATCTGATTGCCAGATAATCCACATCTAATCAACCTACACGTGGCTGCACTTCTTTCAACATTTCACTTGCTTCTTCATCATAGTCCAATTTACAAGCCATGGCCAGGTCGTGGGCAGATTCTTCCCAGTGTCCAAGAAGCCTGCAAAGCAAGAAATAACTGATAATAGAATGTCTCCGGAATACAACTTATTTGGGGTTTACAATTATCCTTTTATTCCTATTGTCCTACAAAGGTTATTGTCTATTTAGCAACCTCTATTTTAGATAACAGGTTTGCCCATATATACAGTTACATACATATATAACAAACATTTTAAACATGACAGCTCACTATAATGAGCACATTTAAAATGCTACATTCATATAAAAAGTTGGAACAAAGCCAAAAACAAATACATGACACTACATTCATATAACAGGAGGAAACAAAAGCCAAATAAAATGATTAGATTCAATTAAAAGTGACCAGAAGCCGGTATAAAAGATCCAAGCAAAAGTGGTCTAAAGCTGGCATAATTACAGTTAGAGATAATTGAACACAGTAGGTCATTTGGATGTGTGAATGGCACAGTGTTCTTCTAGAAGTGATGACACCAAATGACTTTTTCCAAAGAGCATAGATATGCATATCTCAAAAATCGACAAAAAAAACTGTCTGTAGACAACTGTACCTACCATCAAAATCATAAGTCTCCAAGATCCTCTCTGATGCCCACCTCACCACCTGCCCCCTCGACCCTATCCCCTCACAACTCCTACGACCTTCCTCCTCCTCCATCCTACGCTCCCTCATCCACATCTTCAATCTCTCCCTCTCCTCAGGCACTTTCCCCTCCCCTCTGAAACATGCACACATCACCCCCATACTTAAAAAGCCCTCCCTGGACCCCAATGACCCGAACAACCTCAGACCCATCTCCCTGCTCCCATTTACATCTAAACTCCTCGAGCGCCTAGGCTACACCCGCCTATGCTCTCACCTCAACGACAACAACCTCCTTGATCCCCTACAGTCCGGCTTCCGTCCCCTACACTCCACCGAAACTGCCTTACTCAAACTCTCCAACGACCTGCTAACCGCCAAAGCTAATGGCCACTATTCAGTGCTCCTACTCCTTGACCTCTCTGCAGCCTTCGACACAGTCGACCACCCCCTCCTCCTCAAAAAACTACACTCCCTCGGCCTCAGAGATTCTGCTCTCTCCTGGCTCTCATCCTACCTGTCACAACGCTCCTTCAGCGTTACCTATAATGCTACCACCTCCCCCTCACTCCCCCTCTCTGTTGGGGTCCCTCAAGGCTCTGTCCTCGGGCCCCTTCTCTTCTCCATCTATACCTCCTCCCTTGGCCAACTCATACACTCTCACGGCTTCAACTACCACCTCTATGCCGAAGACACACAAATCTATCTCTCAACCCCCCACCTCACCCCCTTGGTCTCAGCCCGAATCACACACCTACTGAGCGACATATCAGACTGGATGTCGCTCCACTTCCTTAAATTGAACCTCTCCAAAACCGAGTTTCTTGTCTTCCCCCCAGCCCGGACACCACCCCCCATTGATTTCTCCGTCACGTCCAACAACGCTACCATCAAACCCGCCCTGCAGGCCAGAGTACTGGGTGTCATTCTGGACTCCAACCTATCCTTCCAGCCCCAAGTCCAATCTTTAACAAACTCGTGCAGACTCCACCTCCGCAACATCGCCAAAATCCGCACGTTCCTAACCCCAGAAACCACTAAACAGCTCATCCACTCCCTCATCATATCACGACTCGACTACTGCAACTCCCTCCTCACTGGCCTGCCTCGCCGCTGGCTATCCCCGCTTCAGTCCGATCCTGAACACGGCTGCCAGACTCATTCACCTTTCCAACCGCTCTGTCTCCGCCACCCCCCTCTGCCAGTCCCTCCACTGGCTTCCGATTGCGCAATGGATCAAATTCAAAATCCTAACGCTGACGTACAAAGCTGTCCACCATACTGCCCCGAACTACATCACTGACCTAATATCCAAGTACCGCCCAGCACGCACACTCCGCTCCTCACAAGACCTCCTTCTCTCTAGTTCCCTGGTCTCCTCCTCCCATGCCCGCCTCCAGGACTTCTCCAGGGTGTCACCCATCCTCTGGAACTCCCTGCCCCAACCCATCAGATTATCACCTACTCTCCTCTCCTTTAGGCGCACCCTGAAAACCCATCTCTTCAGGGAAGCCTACCCCACCCCCTGCTAACTTGCCGACCTCCTCCACTCTTCCTACCACTCCATCCCCCACAGCTATCTCCTCCTGTGCCACCACCCCCTCCCTCCTAGATTGTAAGCTCGAAAGAGCAGGGCCCTCGATCCCCTCATGTTTTGCATTGTATTGGTATTGTTCTGTCACATGTTCTGTCCCCCTTTGTAATGTACAGCGCTGAGCGAACTATTGGCGCTTTATAAATACTGTAATAATAATAATAATAATAATAAATGAGGGAAAATAGAGAGGGAACAGTGAAAACCATACTTCATAAAAATTTTATAAAATAAAATATTATATCTATCTACACACACCAGGAGAGGATGCCAGGAGCCCTGTTGTTAGGGAGCAGGAGGAGAAGGACCAGAGGCTGTATGATTAGGGAGCGGCAGGAGAGGACACAGAAGGATGTGTTATTAGGGATCAGGACGAGAGGACGTAGAAGGACGTTATTAGGGAGCAGGTAGAGAAGACACCACAGGCTTGTGTGATCAAGGAGGAAGGAGGACAGGATGCAGGACGTGTGATTAGGGAAAAGGACGAGAGGACACTGGGGGCCATGTAATCATGGAGCAGGAGGACACCAGGGACTGAGTGATTAGGGAGCAGGTGAGGATGCAGAAGGACATGGGATTAGGGAGCACGAGGAGAAAATGCTGGGGCAGTGTGAACAGCTAGGGAAAAACCAGTGTTCATTATAGAATAAAATAGAATCAGGAAGAGAGATTAATATTTTGTGAAAAAAATTATTCTGAATCCTCTAGGTTTATCCCCATTAAATTAGTGGGTACCATGACCAATGGGAATGATAACTCACTGATGACTCGGTGCACATCATGTGACACTTATACGTTCCTTTATCATCTGTTTGAGAGCGAATACTGCTGTGCATAATGAAAGCAGTTTCTTTCCTTGGAAACCCAGGTCCTGAATCTAAGGAGGCAGCTGGCAACACTGCGAAGTATTGTCAACCTGAAAGAGAGTTTGGACCTTACCAGCCAGGTGCTGGCAGGGGTCAGCACAGAGGTGGGTGGAGATATGGAGGTGCAGGCACCAGAGCAGAGTAGTTGGATGTCAGAGGGAAGAGGTAGAGAAGGCTAGTCCTGAGCGGACACAAAATGCTTGTATGCCTAAAATGCTCAGTATTTTGAAGTGGTATGCAAGAGGCCTTAGATGATGAATCTGTTCCTTCAGATTTACATTGTTAGATGCCCTTTTCTATTAGGTTATGTTTTTTTTTTTAACATTAGAAGTAAAATAGTTTTTTTTTTTTTTTTAACCATTATTATTTATTGCTCTAGGAAATGCTGTCTGCAATGTATTTGCATAATAGTTTAAACATTCTCATTTTTGTTCTTGATAATTATTATCATGGTAAACACAATCATCAATCAATGTTGGGGATATCAGTCAAGGAGTGGCAGTGCTAAAGCAAAGCGAGTCCCCCAGCTGACAGGGAAACAACTTCTCCAGTGAGGATGGGGGCAAGGCTAAAGATAAGGAGAGACAGATGGTGGTAGGGCATTCAATTATTAGAAAGACAGATAGGACAATCTGTCATAAAGACCCCGAGCACCAGACACTATGTTTTTACTGGGCGCTCGGGTTCAGCACATTGCAGATCGGATGGACAGATTGGTGGGTGAGGCTGGGGAGAACCCAGCTGTCATGGTATATATTGGAACCAATGATATAGTTGAGCACGGCCAATAAATCAGAGGGACTTTTAAACTAGGTGGTGGGGATTAGAGGAAGTGAAAGCTGGCAGTGAGCGAAAATCAGAAGGTGCAATTGGGGGCATTGGTGGTAGTATAGCCAGAATATGAAACCAAAGGTAAGTAGGTTGGCAGAACACAATTGCAGCAGAATAACGAAGGAGAAAGAAAATATGCACTCGTAAGAAACTAAAAGGTATGTACACAAATGCTAGAGGTCTAGCTAATCAAACGGAAGAGCTGGAGCTGCTGATACACGAGGAGGATTTCAACTTCAAGGGGATATCAAAAATCTGGTTTTACAGCTCACATGACTGGCTTGCCCATGGGTACTCCTTGTATTGGAGGGGAAGGGAGGGCAGAAGTGGGGGGAGGGGTATGCCTGTTAATTATTTGACAGTGAACGCGAGGGACAACATCGCTAATGAGGCAAGGAAGGAAGTGGAAGCCTTGTAATTAGAGCTTTATAGGGAAGAAACAAATGGGAAATTAATAGCAGGGTGTATACTACAGGCCCCTTAACTTGAAGGATGAGGAGGAATCTGACCTCCTGTCACAATTAGGATTGGCGGAAAGGCAGGGCAATGTTATCATTATGGGGATTTCAATTATCCAAATATTGACTGGGTAGAAAAAACTGCTCACTCATTTAAGCCTCGCCATTTCTTAAATGTCTTGCAGGACAACTTCATGGGTCAATTAGTAGATGCCCCAACTATAAATAATGCATTGCTAGACCAACTAATTACAAATAACACAGATCTGATTGTAGATATGGAATTACAGGACAACTTAGGAAACAGCGATCATAGGGTAATTACTTTCAACGTAATTCATAGTTAAAAAAAAAGGCATGAGGTGGAAGGCAAGGATTGAGGAGATTCAAGAAATGGAAAATCTTACCATGATATTGAAGGAAAGAGGACAAATACTGGAATATTGGAAGATTTGGACTCCCTATTTCTTTTATAGAGATGAAACCTTGTTTGCCCTCTCAGCCCAGATTTGCCTATGGATGAATATTCAGCATCTTCCTCATCCAGAGAGAGAGGGACCCCCCCCCCCTCTCTTTTACCCCCCCCCTTTTTTGTTGTTCCTTTCGTTCTTCTCACTGAGCCCACTGTGCATTCTCTATATCATTCTATGTCTGCAGTCTACTTATATGAGAGAGCGCTTTCTCTAC